GACCCGTCTTACGGCTTTGTAGAGTCTTACTGACTATTAAAATCCGTGGCAAATTCAGTGTTTCTAGTCTGCTCTCCTTGAGAGCAAACTCTCCGGGCGAACCTCAAGTCCTAGTTTTTTGTACACTAAAATTTTAAAAGGTTGTCAACGGAAGTCGTAACCGGTCGTGGAGGTAGACTGCAAGCCCACGAACACGACTTTCTTCATTGGAAGTTCTGATAGCCTGGTGTTTCTATTTGCGAGGACAGTGGATTTGTTGGCTTTTAATTACAGACCGCTTGTTATGTTCCTCTGTTTTAGGATGGCAACCGTTGAAGCAGCAATGCTTGAGACAAGGACACTCTTTGGCGGTGCTTTTCAGATTCTGCTCCCTAACAGCTTTAAGGACGTAAGGTAAACTGTTCTGCCGCCCTGCACACTGTCTCCTCTAGTTGTCCGACTGCACTATTCGGTTTCTGCTAAAAAGATAACCTTCTGCTCCTATCCAGTTCGACAGTACTGCCATGGGTTTTGTGTAGCTTGTCACACTCAACCTTGGGGTGCGCTTCAGAAGTATTTACTTCTACCGTAGAATCAGGCGGAATTTTTAGAAACCGAGTCTCTCTTTTCAGTAAAGTTGTTCAAGTAAGCTCTCATTACGGGCTTTTTATTGGGCTCTTCGATTACTGTAGACATAGGAGTAAGAGTGAAGGGTGTGCTATGGCAAAACGTTTCAGAATGTGGTAAAAGTTGCACAGCTTCTTTAGTCTGTTGCCTCTCACTTACATACAAATCCTTCATCCTTGTACCGCTGTGGGCTTTGCCATTGTCCTTGTCCTTAAAATCGAGTCTGCACAGTTAGCATCCGCTGTGTAATTAAAAGTATGCGTTCTCGAACCTCAGACGAATACGTCTCCTGCGTTATTTTAATCGGCTTCTACTCAGTTACTGCAGATGCATAACTTTCAGCCGTCTCCAGTCCTGATTTCCCGGAATCGCGATACTCGACTGTAAAATTAGCCATTAAATTTGCATTTATATCAGCTCGGCCAATAGGCATGCTTTGGAGTTAGCTCCACTGAAAGCAGCGCTGCGGTCGCATTGGGGTGAAAGCTTGTGCCCTGCAAGGCCATGAAATTAGTTCACTTAACGAATAAACCGTTAATGCGCTTCCTGTATTTACAACTGATCAGAGCAGTTCAAAAACCGATGTCCAAGTCAGTGGCTGCAACATCCTCCACCAAATACTATCTTCTTCCGTTCCGGCACCGAGCATGTCACGTGAAACGCTTATCTTGCGAAACGTAGGTAATCAAACTACATCTGTTCACTTATTGTCTGCAGGCGACCGAGGACCCACGCCCTGGAAGCAAGACTCAACGGTGGACACAGGCACGCACATGTACTGACAGCTCATTAGCCGAGCAGAAGCTCGCCAATCAAAACGTATTTTCTGCTATTGGTTCGCTCGTTACCTGAAATACTTGTAGATAAAGCTGCTCGTCACCCGAGGCTCCACTGTTACAATTATCTTCCAAAGTTTAAAAGGTTATGATATGTTCCTACATCCAGAGTACCGTAGCAAGACTGCTCTTCAGAGCCTTTTTTAAAAGGTTTGTTGGTACAACAGGGGCATACGAACTCCCCGTATTACAGATGGCCTTGAGTTAATTTCTGAGGGTGAAGGTTAGTCGCAGGGCCAAGTCGGAACATGAGAATAGGCTAAACTCTTTGAATTTAGCGCAAGGCCACCGGTAGTACGGAAATGGCTCATGTTCCCGTCTCCCTCCGATATGTTTATCTGCGACATCAGCTTTCATTAAATAGACTTTGTTTGGGAGTTTCATCTATAGCTGGAACTGTACCGCACATTTCGACTTCCATTTTGACCATAAGCATCCTCATTTGCAGGGCTATAGGAATACTCCTAACGACGGAAGTAAGCAGTATTTCCGTGTATGCTGAGAAGAGTCGAGAGCAGTTTGACACATCCTAGAAGCACTAGCAGTAAGCCGTGACAAGGGCATTTGAAGGGTGTGTAAATGCCAATAAGGTTGAGGTAGACAAGATTTTAGACGTCCAGTACTGATCACTTTGACAAGTTGACAAACCACCGGAAATTCGACTTGCACGGATTCATCCTACGGATACAGCTTCCTGTCCCTTTACACTTTTCTGCGCCCCCCAACACTTTACCAAAAGCTTTGCGATGATTCTACATAGATGTATGTCTGGAGCCTTTCACTGTCCATTTTTTAAAATAACCCTACCCATGACTGAAGCAAAATGGCTCCTCGATAATTAGATAAGTCACTGTATCATTGTACGACAGAAAACTGTCCAGTTTTTGAACGCCGACGAATTAAGCATCCGATTCCCAGGATCCTCTCTGATTTATGCTCAGGAGCTCGCATTTTTAATGTCGTTGAACTAACTAAACAAGTCGGCAGTCTTTGGTCACTCTGAGTTGTATGAAGTTTTCTTCTAATAGCATTCGCCACAAAGCTACGTTGTCCCTGATACTCTTAGCCTCCTGGCTCATCCTGCACTCAATGGCTTGATTTAATTGGAAGGGCTACACCGCAGTGAGAGGGTACATCAGTATCTGTCTACACCAAAACGCTCACGACCATCGTTCACTTTGTTTTACAGCACTTTCCGTCAAGTGCCGGACAACCAGGAAGTTTTTGTGAACGACGAAAACGACGAAAGCCTCTCTATTGATATTCTTGATGCCGTAGACTCAACATCCCCCGAGGAAGCAGCCCGGTAAGCTCTGCTCCATTGACCTCTGAAGGAAAACGCCCTAATTTTCAGGGCGACGATAAAACGCGCGTCCGTTCCGAATTGCCTTAATTGATGTGTCGCCGCAGTGGATGGCCTGTTTGCAGATGCATGACTATTTTCCTATTGGCTGTAACCCGCTATCCACTAGGTGATAGGGAAAAGTAGAAATACAAGCGCTACTTTTGAAAGTTAACCAATCGCGGCTGCTCGAAGTGCACAATTCATATAATGCAGACAAAAACATCGGGATTTAACCTGCCTACACGAAGATTTTTGTTGGGAAAACTAAATTTTTGTCCCAATTGACCTAAGAGCATAATTTACGATAAATAGCCGAAATGATTACCTTCGACACAATACTGTTTATGTGTACCTCTGAAAACAGTGATAGTTTTAGGCGTTGTGGCGTCATTGGCTGTAGACTTGACTTGGCACCCTCAAGTTAAGATCCCCGGCCGAAAAACTGTTATAACTAGTCAAACGCCTATTTCCAAGTCCTGCTTATTTCACCATACTCAATACCACTATTAGAGTTGTCGTAATTTAAACGAACATCGAGCCAGATAAGGGGGTGGGAATGTGGGAAAAACTGTTCTCCAATCAAATGTCTTTGTCAACAGTCTACATAGAACCCTCAATACCAACTTCTTAACAACTTTTAGTGAAAATGGCACAAACAGGATGATAGGACATGAAAATTATTCGAAAATCCTCCCACTTCGCAAGGTCATATTTGATTACCTACGAATTTGCGCCAATTGTCAGTGTGGTCTAGGTCGTAAGCTGTCCAGGTAGTATTCCGCAAAGGTTATTGTTCTTGGGGTGGCATAAAGAACCTTTAGTTTGTCCATTTCGCTTTAAAGTTTAACGTCCTTTTAATCGAGTTCGTTTTTCTTTATTTTTGGCCACCCTGTCACTCGAGGCGTTCTCGAAAAAAATCTTGATGCCCGTTTTTCGTTTGCTTAAATTGTCTTTTAAGATCTCGGATCGATGCATATAACTCCGTACGTACAATGTATATTTTCGTAGACCACATCATGACTGCTTTTATTTCCTAACAGGGAGCCCTTTTAACTTCTGTTCATCGGAATAATTGCTATATCCTAATTCTGGTGTAACAATATTACTAAATCAAAGGTTCCGAGCTAAAAATATTAATCGAGTAATTTACCGCATTACTCATTACTGTATCGAATTTCTTCCATAATAACATACTGCTTCATACTTTGTTCAAAGCTTTATCGGCGCTAGGTGAACATTCGACAATTGCATAAAATGTCGTTATTAGACTCTGTGGTGCAGACAGTAACCTGTGCAGTTGGTGGACAAGCTGTCGAAACATGCCTTACTTCGCGAGAATTTCCTGATACCCCGGAAACGGGCCCATATGCTTCATTTAAAAATAGGCCATCTTTATTTGCAAAAAATATAAAGAGATATTGAAAAAAGTATTATGTTGGAAAGCCGAAATGCTCACAAGGCGAGATAAGTAAATTGGATTTATAGGCTAACACAATGCGTGTCCATACAGTGAATCAAAACAGCAGGCGTACGACAGGTTTTTGAAAGGGTTCTGGATCATCCCCAGACTAAGCGTCTCCCAAGAATCAGTTTGCGGCACGGCAGCCAGTCAATTCTTTGTTGAACAAGTTTTTTTTAAATTAACATTCCGCATTTTGAGTCAAAATATTTCGTTTGTGTATTGTTCTGAATACACTTCACGTGGGCGAAATGATTTTGTTTGTTTTATTGGTTAGAGACGTCACTAAAAATGTATTAGTAACAGCACATCCGATTGCAACCGCGATGACGTTTTCTGTATAGGCGTATTTACGCAATGTGCTCTCTGGCGACAGTGAGGGCCGTTGAGTTTCTAAGTTTTTGGAATGTGAGTTTTCGCTGTCTATGGCAGACAGGAGTAAATTTTGGTCCTTATGTTTCCTATTTTGTCTTCTTCTCGTCTTTGAGTAGAGGCAACCAATATGGTTAAGTATGCGACCCTTCAGGGCTCCTGTTTATAATTTGATCAACACTGCCAAACGAGACTGAAATTACCGAATCTTACATTTTTTGCCGTTGCCAGGTAAATCTTCCGCCTAACAGTTTACCAACCTACGAGATAAAAAGTGGGCTTCTGTGTGTAAATTGTTTTTTAAATGCAGAAGACCTTGTTATATTTTGGTCTACGTACAACTGCGGACATTTTCTGGGCATTTCGAACTGAATAAAACACTCATCCTCATTGCTCGGATTTTCTTTCGTCCACCGCACAAACTCTATTGGCAGTTTAAAAAGTATCAAATGACATATTTCGCCGTTTTGTGGAAAGTATTTTCAGGCGCTAGTGCACACATACAACAGTTCAACCGTCGGTTTCGAAGCTTTCTAGCGTGTGTTTCAGCAGACTGAATTCAAACACAGCGACTTGCCCGTTAACTGTTATTAAGTGATAGTACGCTTGTGCAGCATCTACCACACTCTCCACTCACCCAAATGAGGCCGATGTCAAGACAGAGTCAGGAAGACTGGAGGCTGCATCGGGCGCAAGGGTCTAGCGCGACCGAAGCCACGCCCATGCGTTCATCACGTCCTTCATAATGGGCATTTGTTATCGGCCCTCAACCCGAAAAACGCCTGCTGCATCCTGATGTGGCCGTGTTGGTCCATCGTATCCACCATACGGCCCGTTTAACGGACACACACAGATATGATAATGTTCTGATGGAACATTAATCGGAGCCCATTTATTTGAACTTGACAGAATTTACTTATTCTTGGCCGATTTATGTGTGCTTGACATCTGTACATGTGCGCTTGCATTTGTCTTTTAAAATTTGGTGATAAACGCATTGTCGTTAGACCCCGTTGTGCGAAACTGAGCATCCTTGGTGGGAGAGAGCGAGAGAGGAATACACTGAAGCGACAATCGAAGCAGACACTAAGAATTGGTGCATTCTATAGGTCTTCACGAAATTGAGTGGGTAACTTGACCCAAATTTGATTGAACTCATGTTTCTTAATAGGGCTGCGCAGCTCGCATAATTAAAGCGCTGGCCATACTCAAACTTCGCCCTTGCTGTCGTGCATTTGAATCCTACCTACGCCGCAGATATTTTATAAATAGGGTCTAAGAAGTCATTCAAGTCCGTCGAAAGCACAAATTAATTGAGCGAGCCTGGTGGTCAGTTGAGGAATTGCCAATAGTGGAGAACATGCGAGTTCCAGGAAGCAGTTCAGAAGAAGAGGATGCGA